TTAAAATCAATTTTTTCTTTTTGCGGCACGATTGTAAGATTTTTAATCAGTATTAAAACGATCGAAGGACGTTATCTAACGGAAGTTCGTGTGCTTTTGATAGTGAATTTAAATAAATGCAATGGATCTTTGTTACATCCAGAGGTAATCGTGTGACTGTTTTCCTTTATTTCAGCCTACGGATTCTAGGCTTTGTTTCGAATCTTGTGGCTTTGGAGATGTAAGCGTGCAAAAAATATTTTTTCATGGTTTCGCGAGGAAAGTTTTTGTCTCATAAATTCACCAGCGTCTTATCGCTTTGATCCGGGAGGGTTTGTTCAAAAGCACACTAGTTTTGAAGTTACAGCGATTACGAAGCTCTCTACCAGATTTTGCTTCTTTGCTGTAAATGTGGCATTTGTGTCATCGCACGACAAAATTTAGTGTTTTGGTCTCATTTCGTTAACTTCTAAAGCATTTCGCATCTAGTTTCGACGGCCTTCCCATTTCATTTCCAGACGTTTACGCCTTTTTCTACATTTCTGTCTCCTCACTTCGTCCTCTTTTCTCTAGTTTGGACAATTTTGGTGACACAGGGGCGCAAAAGCGTGATGCACCTCTCCCCCACTCATCCTCATTTTTGCATGCACCGCTGAAAACGTATTTGTGTAAAAATGGTTAGTATGTTATCAGTTTGTTCTCATGTGTTTGCGTTGGTTTAATGGATTGTTCATTTTTTGTTATTCGATGCTCAGTAAAACTTGCTTCTACTTCAAGCGCTGGAATCACCGTTCATGCAGCGTCTTCTTCTGCTTGTGCATCTCTCATGACGTTGGTCTACCCAGTGCCGTGTAAGTGCTTTGCTGAACAGGTGAGACGGGACTGAAGTTGTGCATTCCCCGTAGTAGTCCAGAAAGTGGTGCTTAAATGATCTAGTTCAAATCCATGCACATGTTTGGATTGTTGGGATGCTTTGGCATATTTTAATGAGAAATAGCGAAAGGTAGAAGCGGATCTTTCCCTCTCCGTGTTAAATTGTGCAGTTACGTTACGACCATTTCAGCAAGCTCCACGAGAAATTCCGTCCTGGTCGGGCGCGTGCTGTCCTCAAGCACTTTTTAGCAATAACTGTCAGTATTTTATCAGGGGTTGTGAATGTTTAGCCCGTTGACGGTGTTTTTGAGGCATCGTGGTTGCTACGTTGCCCACTTTGCTGGTGGCCTTGGCAGCTAAGTCAAGTGAAGCAAAGTTGCCGACAGTTCCTGTCGCAAGTGCAAATTTGCTTGCAAAGCAAATGAATAATGACTTCGTTGTCGCACTACGTCTACTGGCAGATATGGGTACGGGAACTTTGCAGTTTGTTCGGCTTGTGAGGCTCCCTTTCGCGACCAGTAATGTGTCTCCGTTTTTATTGTCAAGCTAACTAGCTACTCAGTAAGTATATTAAAGCTCGCTTGCAAAATCCACAATCTCGAGAATCGCTGCACGTGTAGGACTATTCTACGTTTTTGTGTGTTTGGATGGGCTTTTTTCTCGCATGTGCGGACGTGCGAAAACTCTATCATTTCGTTGAGGAAATCCATGGGTGACAGACTGCTGCAAGCTTAATTGATTTGAATACCTGTTTGGTCAGTATGCCCAGATTAATTCGAACAGCTGGTCAAGCGTTTTGTCGCAGCCAGATGAGGCTGTGTACAACGAAGCCATTGGAACCGAATGCTGATATGTTGCAGAAGGCCACTGTGCGGCCTACAGTCCTCAGGTGAGTCATTTTCTTGAAGGATACAAAAACCAGCGACTGATGGCCTAGGCCGGATAGAAAAACTAGCGACTGTTGTGCCGACTGGGTGCAGAAACAGCATTTTAAAAACGTGGAATCAAAAACTGTGATCGTATTTGCACAAAAAGTGGCACAGGTCTCACGTGCAGATACTTCATTTGCACGGAGCAAAAACAAATAACAGGAAGCACTATTGGCTAGCGGTGTCTTTAAAAAGACGCAAATGCGGTTAACGCAACTACTACCTAACTGCAGCGTTTTCAATACTCCTAGGAGCTTTGGCTCCAAATTTATCGCCGATTTGTGTAATGGACAGAATGCACCGCTCCAGTGCCTTTATTTATTAAAAGCTGTCTGGAGATGTTTCTCACTTAGCGCATTTAGCGTTACGAGAATGTGCAGCAGTGGAGAAAGTAGTAGCAGTGGCTTTGACATTATTAAAGTAGATTTTGTTGATATCATTGTTTTAAATTTTTTGACCTAAAAAACCTTCAACAGGAACTACGTGGATGATTCCCTGAAGCAAAAAGATTATTTTGGTTTCAAGAAAATGATTACAGTCGATGATATGTTTCACGCACGCGTACATTATGGCCACAAGGTATGCGCTTTTGTTATTTGTACCATGAAGACTCGTTATTTTAATCTGCACAAACCACAAACCCCTCAGTTAAGCTTTAAATGTGTAAAAAGAGTTGAGTAGTAAATTTTTTTTTTCCTTGTAATTTTCTACTAGGATATTTTACAGTTCTTTGTCTCATGTTTGTTTCTATTGACAGCGGAGTCTATAGCCGAGGAAGATTTCAGAAGGGCTTTCGCATGGTTCTCAGCTGATTGGTCTCTTCAACTAAATTACTTAGCAAAGCAGCGTGTCCCTGATGTGTGTTGAGCGCTACCACTGTCTCCC